CAAAGAAGCCCATGCTCAACACCTAATGCCTCAAACCTTGTCTAAAACATCTCTGACCTTAAGGCCATTAAAGAGAAAAACCATGTTTCTTTAAAAAAGGAAGAAGGAAAGAAAAGAAATACTGGGCACATTAAAAATATTATTCCCAATTTTAACAAGGAAAACACGCTGGAGATTCAAAGCTGCCATTTCATATGCATCACATGTATTTTTTTACTGAAAGATGACTGAAATAAGTTGAAAATTACAGTTAGAAAAAAGCCTGAATCTACATACTTAACAAAAAACAATAAAGTGCATGTTCTTGTGACGGATCCTGTGCAATAAACACAAGATCCAAATTACAACTGCCTTATGTGCCATAGTTCACACCTTTTGAGTAGATCAAGACAGGATTTGAATTTTAGAATTCAGTTCTGTTATTAGAACAGACCAGACAGACCTGTTAGACAGACCAGACCTTAACTATGGGAAATTCTGCAGTTGGATCCTAATCCCCAACTGGGAACATGTTTAATATAATTGCTGCAAAATAAGAGAATTTTAATGGTGAGACTAGAAAGTGAGGACACCAGGCTTATATAAGTGATTAGAGACTTATGTTTGCTGGCACTGAACTGCCTAGCAAGGGGATGGCATCTGTTATAATCTAATTTTAAGTAGAGAAAATAATAGAGCACAGAGACGCTTCTGTTTCATAAGGGATGCAGCACTTGTGCGTCAAGTGAAATCTTGGGTTGTTTAACAAATGTTCTCTCCTCTTTAAATGATCCAGACTTAGTAAGGAAATAATAATTCCTACTATGATCCTTATTACTAACAATGGAAAAATCCCTTTTTAGAATTTAACATCTCTTCCCAACATGTTATTTTGTATTTGGCCCAACCATAAAGCAAGAGGATTGTTTGCACAAGGGTGAGTATAAATCAACCACAAATAAATTTAGTCCTGAAATCAGAGGAAACAACTTGCTGATGGTAGTTGCAGAGGGCAGCAGCACAGCTGTTTTCGTTAATGCACATCAGCCAGTTTACCAGTGAAACTCTGATCTGACAGCAGTGTACTGGACTCCATGACTCATTTTTTCCCTGTTCTGCTTCATACACCAGCAGATGCTGAACTCCACCCCTAGCCAGTGCCACATAAGTGTACCGAGTGCCAGGGGACCTACAGTTGTGTTGCACTTCTCACTCATTAGTAGGTCACAGAAGTCAAATGCAGGGTTCCAAGACTGTTAGTATTAGACCAGAAATACTTCCATTCTGGAGCCTGACTGAGCATGGATCTAAAATAGAAGCTGACATGTAACTAAGGTCTGTGTTCTCTTTACCATAGGGTGGTTGAGTCTCCCTAGCTTGGTACAACATCTGTCAGCGTAGTCATGAAGTTCTTCAGTGAAGTTCTTAGGTGGCTCAGTGGCTGAATGTGGGGCTTCTTTAGAGTAATGACTTTTGCAGTTATAGCCATCATACACATATCCATCCCAAAGTTAAATTACAAACAGAAATAGAGCCCGTTAGAAACAAGTACAGCTACTACTGGTGATCAGCTAAACAATGGAATTGGACACAGCCATCCACAAGAAGACCCCTCCCCAAATCTGGCAATAGGGCATTAAAAAACCCCCCTCAAAATAAAAAAGAAATCACAACTGCATATTGATACAACCTTTCTTTTTGTTTTACGTCACATGTTGCATGGAAGTTCTTACATGGAAAAATGGCAATATGAAAAACAGAAGAAGTGGTTAAGAGAGAATTCTATTCTCAGTAAAACTGGGATAACATCAATAAAGCGGAATTGTTCTGCAGTTATGCTGTTTTAAACACTTCTGCTACTTATAAAATCAAAAGGAAAAGAATTTATATGAATATACTTGATACAAAATATAGTTCTGAGTTGATCAGTCCTTTTTAAATGAAGCATAACAAATTTTAGTTTCAAAATTATGACATACTTTAAATGGAAGTAAATTTAATTTAAAATTATTTTTTAAATCCACAATTTTCTGATTCACCTAATTTTTTTTTCAGTGACTCTTAAAATAGTGTCTTTTATTCACAGAATATAGAATATTCTGCTTTGCTGTTAAATGAACAGCATTTATACATGGATAGAAGAATCTCTGCTTTTGAGATTATAAAACGAAGGTAGCCAGATGATCAAAAGGCACAACGTGTGTGTGTGTATGTATGTATGCAGGAAACTAAAATTACCTAAAAAAAGCAAATAGAAACTATACTGGCAGGTTAATTGGAATTATGCTTCAGTAGGTACCCAGGAAAGCAACACCTGTAATTTAATACTGAACAAACTGCACATCTTACTTATGGCCTTTATAGAGAAGACATCACGATCAAGTTCCTTTGCCTGCTATCGAGGACAGAGAGTATGTAGTATAAATGCATGTACCAGAGACGCCCAGGAACAATTCTGTAAGCAAAGAGGGGGCTAATGGAACAGGGGAGTTTGCAAACTTTAAAATTAAGCTGAGTGATTCATGGCAGCTGAACATTGGCATAGAGAGAATGGAGAACCAAGAGCCTGCAGTTCTCATCTGTGCAGACCTTTTTATTTCAGGCAGCCGTCACGCACAGCCTAGCTCCATGTAGCTTGTCTACGCCTTCTTTCTCATTTAAGTAAGATCTTAGGAAACCAGTGCCCTGCTCTCCTCCTGATGTAGGACCACACAGATTAACATTTTGAGCTGCTGTTTCTTAATTCATATTGGGGAATGTACAAGAAGATCTTACAGCCATATGACACAGTAGAAACGGTCCATTCTATAAGGGAAACCCCCCTATATTTCAAGGTGGAGTAAGTACCCTATGAATGAAATACCAATTGTTCATAGCGGATATGCTCTTTTCTGAAATATAAATCATGTGCACTACATTGAAATACACTCTAGTGTATTGTGAAATGCATACATTAATTACTGAATCTATAACACTGAATATGTATATACATCACACCCAAGATATTTATACAATATAAGTCTTAGATGTATAACATAATGAATTCTGTACAAAATAAACTGTAAGTTAAGACAATGAAAGAGAACTTTTATATCTGTGTAATTTGTATGCTGATTAAGTTATTCAAGCCTCAGTTTTCATCTTTAAGTGTGCCCTTTAAAACAGAATACTTATTTTCTATAGGCAGATGTCTGAAATAAAGACTGCACTCTTCAGAAAAGAAGCAACTGAAAGACTGTGAAAGAAGCAGATTTTGCTGGAGAAATAAATATAATGTTCATGTGATTTTTTTTTTAAACTGACTAAACCATTTTGCATTTATACTGGTCAAGGTGATCTGCTGGTTGGGTTGAGGGTGATGTGCTCCTGCAGCGTGAACAGGAAATCAGCAGAATCACCAGCACAAGAATTGCTCATGTACCTCCTTGCTCAAAGCCACACAAATTACCAAATTATATAGTCCAAGGGTTTCACCCAAACTTCCCTGCAAATGGTGCTCCAGCCCTCGCTTCCTGCCGTGAGTGATCATTTCCCAGCACCAGTTGTAAAGAACAGATGAACTTATTAAATGACCGTTGTCGTGCAAAGTACAGCAGAGAGGTATGTGTGCATTTAAAGGAAAAAATGACAAACGGAACCTGTCCCTTTAGCTCTCCAGTGTGAATCATCAGAGGTTAGATTTTTGGGTCAGCGTTCTGAATTTCCTCATGTTCCCATTAGAATCAGAGAGTCTCAAAATTATTAAGTGACTACTGACCTCATCACAAGAGCTCGGAAAATAGCTTCCTAATGCCAGAACAGGGAATTGAGCCTGAGTTTTTAGGTTTTGCTCAAGGTCTTGGAGGTGGTGGCCAACCCAGAAACACAGACTCTCTTGGAACTCCTCAGGGTAATCAGGTCTCCCACAGACCATACAGTACTGGACATCAGAGAACAGGGAATTGAGCCTGAGTTTTTAGGTTTTGCTCAAGGTCTTGGAGGTGGTGGCCAACCCAGAAACACAGACTCTCTTGGAACTCCTCAGGGTAATCAGGTCTCCCACAGACCATACAGTACTGTACATCAATGCTCAGGAGGTGCCTCCATTGTCCTTCTACTGTTTTCAGCTGGACCACGTTTGAGATCTGACTGTAGAAACTCAATGCAAAGGTATGGGCTGCCTTTGTACTAATGGGAGCCATTTAACATCACCTGAATGATTTAACGATCGCTATTGTCATTTCTAATGTATTGAAATGTGGTTTTATATAAGGTCAGTTGGATGAACAGATCGAAAACTGTAATTTAGGAAGCACCTCAGAGAACCTAAACTTGAATGTGCTTTGGCCACAAATTCCAGTTGGTCACCGCTAAGTATTCACAACAGTAAAATAAGAAACATTTTTCATAAATTACACTTTTTCTTTTTTTTTTATATATATACTGGCAGTTATGTTTGGTCAATGTTTGACCATTCCTGTGACACCCTTCCCCTTAGCAGCATCTTTCTAAAGAACTGCCAGTGGATCTATTCACACTGCAGTGCTCTACTCAGTACAACAAAAGGTATCAGACTATGAGCTCTTACAGAAAAAGACAGGTTTTTTACTGTTTTATTTTACACACACACACACACTTAAGTGTTCAAAACAACTACCATAGGTGTAAATTGTAGCCACCAATGTGTGTGTGCTATGTAGCCACATAATAATGACCTGCAGCCATGTGGGAAAAAAAACAGCTCAACAAATACATCTTTTTTTTTTTCT